TATCAGATAGAAAGATAGTTAAGTATTTTACAGGGAAGAGGTTTGGCCGATTTGGTATTTCATTTGTTACAAAATGTTTTCACTTAAGGACTTCTTTATTTCTGGAATGGAGACATTAACTTTTTTCTGATGATGGGAATTATTTCCTTTAAAGGGACGAGCAATAAGGGAACAATAACAATAAGTAACTTTTTTTTTTTCTCCGCGAGAATATTTCCATTAATTTTCAAAGGTTGGTCGGTTGTTAGTGATTCTGTGCGCGTCAGGTATTGAGGTTATTAGTCCTGCAGGTGTAGTGCATGTTTTTACTTGGGAGGTGGCGGTGATATTTCCCCGCTGGATGGCGAGATCCAGAGCCAACCTACCGTCGGATAGCGGGGTTTTCCCCAAACAAGTATCTCCCATCAGCGACGTACCGCCTCAGTCCAGACAAGATCTAACCTTCCGGCCTGTCTGAACTACCGATCAGAGCAGCCGGCCTCTAGACACCGACTGAGTTCGACCTAGTTATATAGCTAGTGTCGAAAACCTTGCCACTGTCGGGTCTCGAACTTAGGACCTCCCGGTCAGAGGCACTGCAGCGACACCAGTTGATGCACTGAGCCACCTTTCCACGTACTTTTCAAAGACTGCCTGCCGTTTGTTATTCCCATATGCGTGCAAGTGAGACATGGAATGAATGCGAGTCAATAGTGATAGCGCACGAGTCCGAACAAAGAGTTTATATCTGAACACTCCATTGTAACTCAGTCTGGCGCGACAAAGGAGCTGTTATTAGCGCTGATGAGCAATGGCCCGCGGAGAGTGAAGGTGCAATCTGTGACTGGAGGAGGCAGCCAAGGTTGATGTATTCTGAAGGCACATTAACACGTGCAAATTTATCACATCTCTCTGCGCTACCTCAATCTTTGTTATTTTTTCAGAGTGATAATAAAATATTTTGTATATTATTCCACTTGAATATTGTATATTATACAAGTATTAATAATCTAAAATATTTTGTGTCATTCTTTGATATTTTTGGAAAAGTTTAATTTTACTTTTCATAGAGCTAATACACATGAGTATAATACACTGTAATGGTATTTTAAATGAAAAATCATACAAAATATTTTAAAATAACCTTCAAATCTGATTAATATTGGGCTATTTTCTGTGTTATCAGGCTTTCTTTGCGCACACCTCCCTTTCAAAATTATTTAATTGAGAATTTTAAAGTTATTTAAATTTACTTTAGTTTTCAAATATTTGTGGAATGATAGAATAGTTTTATATGATGATACAAACCATTTCTAATCTTTAATTAAAAGGACAGTGTTTCGTTTCTAAATTTCAAGATGCATGTTCCCAAAATGCTGAAACAGTATACTAGTGTCTGGTACATTGATATTAAATGTTGGAGTCATAGTTGAGTTTGCAGTAGCTGCTTCTAGAAATTTTAACATGAATAAAGAAATATACGCAGGTGGGGAAACCCGTGGAGATGACATCTTTCACGTGATGGTTCACAAGTACGTATAAGCGCGTCTTTTCAACTTAAATTATTATCGTAATAACCAAAAAAAATGCAATTCGTTCTCTTTGTTGATTATTTCAACAGTAAAAGATTAGGGCTCCCACTACTTTACTTGTAGATTAAAAAACATTTTGAAAATGTTCGACATTCCAGATATGAATGGAAATATACTAGTTCCTGGTCCGACTAAAAATACCCCGAATGGGGCGGCAGTACAAAGAGAAGATACGTGTTTACGCGACGCACATCGCAATGGAAGGACTGGGCGAAAGCCAAGTCGAACTCCGTAGTTCGTTCATGTCTATCTTTGGCCACCTGCCAGTTCCGAAGGCGCACTAATATTTTTTAATGTGCATCTTAGTTTTTTGTTTTTAATCTTACACATCAATGACATTTTAGTGAGTCCGAAAGACATTTACTGCATGGAATATAGGGCATACAATAATTTGGTCCTAAAGAAGAAAGAAATTTAATATTTGATTTCATTTAAATCGTACAGTGTGAAAATAGAAAGTTTTATACTCAAAAACAATATATACAAATTAAATTACTGTTACGCGTTTATAAGTTATAAATATCGGATGGAGAAATTGAATCGATAGCATTTAGTAGCTTTTTCCCTCACTGAGAGCGTGCAACAAACACTTTGTAGCCCAGATAAACCAAAAGATAATCAGACTAGCTGGTTGCAGGTGTAGGTGAATGGACATGGAGGGAGTGGAGTGACTGATAAGAACACAAACACAAACACCGGAAAGAATTTCTCTGAATATTTGTAAAAATACTCTAGAATCTGAACCATAAAGACAAACTAACGAACGCCGAAAATGTTTGTGCTCTCTGTCTGATGTCCTGTGCAATCGATTACTTTACGTGTAGTTCCGGAAGTCCAAAGGAATCAAAAAGAAGACAATTACGTACACTATCACACTACGACTCGGGCGAGTATTGGAATACCACATACCCAACTATTAGATGTAACATAATATTTCCTTTTGGAACCCCTTGTTATTACCAAACGATTGAACGTATCACATCTTTGACGTTTCCGGTGACATCCGATATGTTATATTACAGTACAATGAAGGCCATAAAAACCTTCATATATAGTACTCTTCTTGTCATTTGAGAGAATCATATTAACTCGAAGTTATAAGCACATTCTCAGTTCTTCTTGAATACACCGTGCAACTATGCAAAAAGCATGCAAAAAGGCTTTCGCGACCGGAATCAGTTTGGGATGGTCGGAAAACACTGCGACTTTGGCAATGTTGCCAACGTTCCGGCCGTCAGACTGTGACGTTCTTCAGAGCTACTACACGGCATTGGAATGCCATTGAAAAAGGTCGCTCTACGAGTACGATAGGCAACTGTTGAAAGTGATGGCTCCGCGGCGTCTCTCGGACCTTTTATTAAATAAAGGAAAATTGAAATTTCCTGGGAAAATGTTCCTTTATTGAAGGAAGCCCACAAAGGTATTTTTTATTTATTATGGCTCGCGATGTTTGTGCCGTTTCACCAAGGCATAAAATCATTTCAAATAATGTTTCGGTATCCATTGATTAAATGTTTAAATTTCGGTTTCTGTTACTGATAATGAAACGTTTCGATTTTTCTTTCGTAACAGTTCCAAATTTTTCATATATTTTTAATTATTCAATTTTTACTTTCCCGTATACATTCATATACACGGAGTAATATATGTAGTAGAGGGAAAGTTATGTAATGTTGCGGAAAATCGATTTCGAGATTTCAACGGAAATACACGTTGTGGGGTTCCCTGCTACCGAAAAAGTAGTTTTTTTTTTTCAAAACGTCCGTCTGTCTATCCGTCCGTCTGTCTGTCCGTCAGGTGTATGTGAACAACACTAGCTCCTAAACCATGTGTAACATTTTTTTTCCAAATTGAAGAAACCCCTGTGCATTTGGCCTGAGTCGAAGCTCTGCGATATTGAAAATCATTCATTAGTTTTTACGGTACTTTACATGAAGCTCCTATTACATTTTCAAAATTTTCTAAAAAATGGCTTCAAATATTTTCCTTAAAATTATTCTAAGAATATAGTGAAATACACTTATAAAGGTGACATAGGTCCAATTTTACAGTTAACTCTGAATTTTCGAAAATTTCAAATGTTTGCATTTTTTGCGCGAGTCTTCCTTCAACTACAAAACTAGTAGTGCTACTGTCTTTTCCGTATTAGTTTTCTATTTCCTTTGGTCTCAACTAGCTATTCGGACTTGCAACACACTCTTGCCAGCTGCCATCTATCGCCGGCCAAAGTACATTTTTTTGACATTTTCTTAAATTTTTGTTCCTTAATAGTAGAACGGAGATATTATTTTAAGAACATTAAAGAACAGCAAACCTCGTCCTAAATGGGAATTTTCATTTAAAAATTTACAGCCGTTTTTAAAAAATGGCGTTTAAGCACTATTGTAAATTCGAAATTTGAAGCGCTTTTTCACCGAGCATTATTGAGTTTTCAAAAAATTTCTTTTGAAGTAATTTAAATCACTTTAACTCGTAAGAACAGTTGTGTTTACAAATTGCTGGCAATGTGCATATTAACGGCGTGAGAGATATTTCAAAAAAATACATTTGAGCAATTTTTTGAAAAACAAAACAAAAAAACTCCAAAATAACTTTTACGTCATATTAAAGAGTGCAATAAGCATTATCCGTTCGAAAAGTTTTAAGAAAAAAGTTTGAGCCATGTATGAGAAAATGGCGTTTGCGCATTTCTGAAAATGCGACTTTGTGCCAGTTTTTACAGAACACTGTTGAGTTTTGGAGAAACTGTACGTGACATTATTTAATGCACGTAAATATAATGCGAAGAAATTGCCGCTAATATAAATATTAACGATGTGAAAAACAAGTCAAAAAAATTCATTTTTGAAATTTTTGGACAAAAAGAATAGAGCAACACGGCGTTTATGTAATCTCATAGAGTATATTTAGCAGTATCCCTACTAAAAGTTTAAAGGAAATATTGGACCCATTTTTGAGAAAATCTTGTTTTTACTTTTTAAAATTGCTCACGTAGATCTATTTTTTCACGATTTGTAAATATCTGCAATTATTTTCCACAATCTCCCAAAGGAACTAAATAGGCATTTGTCCTAACACCCGAGGCATAGTGATATTATGGATTAGCCAAAACGAGATTGACTAATAAACATTTGGACAACTGTACCCGAATGGCAGTGACTATCTTCTACCCAACACGAAAACATTCGATGACCAGAAAGAGTAGCATCCTTCTCATTAAAATTATTAAGTCTTATAAATATCTTCTTTTATTTTCATTTATTAAAAATGATACAATTTATTCTTAAGTACAATTCAATATCATTTTCTTTTTCTGATGTTCAGTTTTATTAAATTTAATTTCTTATTTACTACAAATATGTTTATTGGCAATAAACTAGTGTAGCAAGTGAAAAAAGATCTTATATCTGTCATTGTTCCTTTGCGTAGTTCACAGTAGGGTTTAAAAACAGTGCGTTTGCTACGGTACGGGCCAGCAGTGCCAGCACCCTCTCCAACAAGAGCGGCAGTGGAGAGGGTGCTGGCAGAGCCCACCCCTCACGTGCGCCGTTGCCTGGCTGCAGGGAGGCCGACCCGGAGAGCGGGTGGTGGCGCGCAGAGGAGTGGCGGGCGGACGCGCGCTACGCGGCGATGGTGGCGCGCGCGGCGGCCGAGAGCCAGCGCCGCCTCGTGCACCAGCTGGGCGTCGACCTGGTGGCCTCCGCCAACGACAACGCCTTCCTCAGCGACGCCCCGCACCACTTCACCCAGCGCACGCTGCTCGCCAGGTGACTCGTCTTCCTCTCTTTGTTTTCATCCTGTTTATTTTTCTTCTTATTCTTCTCTAGTTCCTTAGCAGGCATCCGAATACCATCCCAAAAAACTCCATATTTATATCAGGTATTTCATTCTTTTCTCGAGATAGAATTTTCTCAATACGTTGATTTGAAAGGACAGTGCATTTGGTATTCAGTTCTAGACAGTTATTCAGCTACATAAGTACATTACAACTAACTACACCAATGAGGATCGGTTTCTGTTATTGAATCATACTGCGTCGGAATGCTCGACACATTCAACATAACAACAATAATTAGTTAAAGGAGACGTTACGACATAAAATTATGTTTTTAACATAAACATGAACGTACAGAGAGATTATTTGGACTGCTTTGACAGCTTCGGATTGGCTATTGCTGGCAACAAAACTGCAAATTATGCCCATCCTGTATTCGTCGGTTGTTCGTTAGCTGTTGTCTTGCAAATGGCTTCGACACGACCTCTTGCAACTGCAGTGTCCGGCATGACCTTTATTCCCGAGCGGTCAAACTGGTCCCTTCTTATAGTAATTTCTCTATGCCGTTACAAATGAATATAAGCCTGAGTACAGCCATTCATCAATATCGATACAATAAATAGTCGGCATTGACGATTTATGTACAATGTACAGGTACCCAGGTACCTCGGTACCCATAGGTGAGTTCGGCCATATACGTGAATCCCCATCTATGAAAACTCCCTTGCCGAAAAAACCCATAAGATATTTAAAAAAATATAAGATTGGTTTGTATCTGTAATTCATTTGTTTTATTAGTAAAAAGTAATTAATTATAAAAAATAAAAATAATGTATTTAAGTACAAAATATAATATATGTTAAATTGTATAAACAATTTGTTAAAATTAATTTGTATTCCTATACCTAGTTATTCGACTTCTGGTATAATTAGATTGTTTAGTAAATTCGGAGGATTTTTTTAAAGTGGATGGGCCCAACACGATTTTGGGCTTGGCGATCCTGCAGTACCAGAATCTGGTCCTGTTATACTCAGGATTTTTATTTCTTGGCGCAGTAGGGCCTGTCTTCAGGATGGAAAATCGTACAACGGCACGACCGAGAAATTTGCGAAATACCGTGAGATATTTGATCGTGAAGACAGGCCCTTGCCCGCCAAGAAATAAAAACCCTGAGTAAAAGTAGGGCCAGATTCTGATACTACAGTTATTGCAGTTCCAGTTCAATTGCTGTAAGAAGGGACCGGTTTGACCGCTCGGGAGGCAAATAAAGGTCATGTCGGACACTGCAATGGCAAGAGGTCGTGTCGAAGTCATTTGCAAGTATAAAAATAAAAACCCAAGTATAAGTGTGATGAACGCGAGTGAGTGATTGTGTGTGTGGGTTTGTGTAGGTTCCAGATGAACAGCTCGCACCCTGCGCACACGCAGTGGGTGGGCAAGCCCGTGTACGCGGCGCTGGCGCTCATGGGGCTGCTGGGCGAGCGGGAGCTGGCGGCGCGCGTGCGTGGCTTCGGGGGCCGCGCGCCGCGACGCCACCTCGCCGTGCTGGCGGCGGCTGGCGGCGGCGACAGTGGCGGAGTGGGCGAGGGCGACGCGCGCCACGCCGCGGTGCTGCTGGCGTGGGGCGGCGGCGCAGACCCCGCCCCCGCCGACTGGGCCAACGTCACCGTCGCCCTCAAAGGGCTCTCTGAAGGTGAGGGTTCCAAGATCCTACGCAGTTGCAAGAGGTGTAAATTCATACTACTTCGTATGTGGATTCGGGTATTGTCCCTTATCGTAACGAATAGACTCCGCCGTCGCGTGATGGATGAACGAAAGCCAAGATCGATTGGCGGGAACGAGGATATTCTGTTTCGAAATTCAAAGGAGATTGGCGCGTTTCAATTCATTAAAAAAATAGCTTCAACTATATTGGAAATTATGGGTTGAACACATCAACAATGTGTTTATGTTAATTGAGTAGGTCCAACGCCTGAGCGTCACCATGAATATCGACACGCGTATCGAAGCGTCAATTTGTCTTAAATGATCCTGGTAATAAATACAACGCCATTTCGCTCGCGAATGCGCTATCGTTCGTCAAGTTCACGCCAAAATGAGCTGATTTCCTCACGTTCGTTACGAACAAAGACAACCTGAATTTCTACATAGACTAAAGTGTGCTTTACTTATGTAGAGATTCACATATCCCCACTGCGAAGACCGGAGCCTCACCGTCAACTTGAAAATTTGCTTGCGAAATGAATATTCTTCGCCCAAATGTATTTTGCAATGTAATTGCCATGAACATTAGATGTTACACAGACTCAAACTCTTCAGTTATAAAAGTATTTTGAAAAAATTAAAGCCACGCTACGGACCTACAAAATCCGAAAAAATTACATATTAAATTACAGACATTACACATCCCCATTTCTCAAAAGTTTGTGTGTTACGTATTTGTAGAAAGTCGCTGCGACTCAAGATTCCCGAAACTCTTGAGGTATTTGGATTTCGGAGGCACTGCGATGTTTTCTTAAAAAAATATTTTACGCACCATAAGATCTGGCAACGAATGCTTAGAGAAATTCGCGTTGTTCTTTATTTCATCGGAATTTATTAGTTATTTTAACGCTTTCAGCGAACTTTGTTTTGCACCAGGGCAGTCAATACTTAGATTGAGATTATAATAATGCGAATGTTGATGGGAAAATGTAGGGAGAGGTAGGTAGAGTAGCGGATGCAATGGGAAGCCATTGGAGCCATGCTACTCCTCAAAATATTTTCTAATTTTCCTCAATTTATTCAAAATACATAGATTTCATCACACCGAAAACAAGATAACTAGTACGAATTTATTCATACATTTCTTATTTCAAGATAATTTTTAAAAAAAATATTTATTTCAAAAATATTTATGGGAGTCAGAAATGAAATCCTCTCCCCCCGCCCCCCGCTAATACTGTCTAGATCCGCTGTCTTTTCTGTGTATGAAGAACTTCAGGGATTTAGCTTAAACGCAGCTGATGCGAAAACCGCTCGCCACAAAATTCGTATGGAATGACCAGAATTTAAATGCCAATCATATATGAAATATAGCACACACGTCGCTGTGCCCCTATCGCAACGTACAGTGAAATATGAATTTCATTGAAGGAAACAATTACATTCATTCAACAAACATCACACAAACATTCTAAAGGAAACATTGATTCAAAAATAACTGAATAGACGAATAGATTTCAAATAATTCTGAAGAAGCGTAATGTTAATGAACTGAACTGCTATCAATGAACCACAGATAATAAACGCCTTATTTTTAATGCGATATGCCAAAAGCATCTTCGGAGCTTCTTGTCTTGTTCTCGAATTAAAAAAGTATATTTTTTTGTGTACTGCCTTAAATGCCAAAAGATATCTTTGTAGAGTATCACAAATATTTTTCTCTACTCTTAATAAGCGGAATAGCTTAGACTTCATTATGATTGTTACAATCTGCAGTCGATTAATTGAACAGGAAGAGGTGGCTCAGTGCATCAACTGATGTCACTGCAGTGCCATTGACCGGGAGGTCCTAGGTTATAGTTCCAACAGTGGTAAGATTTTCGACAGTAGCTTGTCAGGTAGGTCGAATTCAGTCGCTGTGTGGATGAGAATTCTAAGGCCGGCTGCTCTGATCGATAGGTTTCCGGTGATTCTCCTATCAACACCAGGCGAATGCCGGAGCAGTACTCAAACAAACGGGTCGTGGACCGCGCGCGTCTTTCCTTCCTCTTCCTTATCCTTTCCTCGCCCTTACACACACTTTCAATAACATGCGCCACACCACCACACATGCCGGGAGACCGGTCGGGAGCTTAGAGTTTGTCCCGTTTGAGGCGGTATCCCGCTGGTGGGAGATACCTGGTTGAGGAAACCCCATCCAGCGGAGGAAGATCGCCGCCATATCCCGTGGAGAAAGCATGAACTACATTTACGGGAATAATGACCTCGTTAGTAGGCGCGCCCGAAATCACTATCAACCAAATATCGATTTATTGAATTTCAAGCTTCGAGAGTTTATGTACCGTTGTGGAGCTTGAATTTGCTTCGTAGAGTAAAGAGAGTAAACCAACCGGATGTCCATGACTTTCGCCCATTCAACAGCTAGACAGACCATCGGCTGGGCTGAGCATGCAGTTGCATGAGGACGGTGTCCGAGGGGAGACCTCATTAAAGGGTATCTGTTTGGATGAGATAATGGGAACTCTTTTGTGCAGTGCGGCGGGGCAGAGGGCGTGGACTCCGAGTCATGCGGGCAACGATCGACCGCGGCAGCGCCCACCGCGCCCATGACTCACCACGTCGCGTCGTGAGTCACCCTCGCGCCACGAGTTCATCGAGAGTTTCATGTCGCGGTTGACGTAATCTGTCTCCTCTTCCTGCCTCCAATAATATCCTTTGATTTCGAGAAAGAATGACTTTTAAATGACTAAGGTGCGCTACTTAATGAGATGGCGGTTAATTACTACAGGCTCCAGTGACGAATTGATGAGTAACTGCAAGAATAGCATAACTGAAAAAAAAATGTTTCTTAAAGACACACGTTTGATGTTTCAAGAGCATGTATGAAAACACTGTAAACGGCTTATGCCGCTACAAAATTTTCAAACACATCAATAAACAACTCGCGGGATGCCGATTATATTTTATTAGCAATTCCTTACTGTAAAATGTTGAATTATTTTGTTACTGGAGACGTCGAGTTCCTGACAATATTATAGCAATAAATAATTTCTTTACCGTCTTGATCCCTGAAGCATAGATTTCTGAAAGGGTTTTTAGTAATTTTCGATTTCACCTCAACGTTATATGCATTTCCAAAACTCGAAGCGCTTTGGTTATTCTAGGGATGCCGTTTAGAGGGTCATTTGTGAACAGAGAGTACACACCAATTCTGACGGCCTGCTGGTTGGGTAGGTAAAGAATCTGACGGTTAAAATTTGGGCGCGATCGAAGGGCCGTACGATTCAGAGATGTTATTTACAGACCCAATTCCATCAATATACGAATTTGTTTTTTGTAAATTTTCATCCAAAAAGGTACATTTTTTTCTGAGGAAATACTTAAAACAATTTTCGGAACTCTATGTGATCACAACCGTCTGGACTTTAAAGAAGAGAAATCGACAAGAAACTGCAATGCAGAAACGAAGCAATATGACATAAACATTTTTTTTTCATCTGTTAGGGATGGTGGTGAATTTTCCCCTACGACTCACATTGTTAAGAGTTGAACAATTTGGCTTTGGCCGCTAGGTAAACGGCTCCGTCCCTAGTTAAAAACCTTTTTTCGTGTGAAATTACATTTTCATAGACATGTTGGGTGGTGTTGCAGGCGCCGCGGTGGCCGTGTGGCAGGTGGACGAGCGCACGGACCCCTGGCGCGTGTGGCGAGCGGCTGGAGCGCCGGGGCAGCCGGACGGCGCGCTGCGGGCGGCCATGCGCGCGGCGGCGGCGCCGCGCCTCGACGCCATTGTCAGTGGTGCCAGAGTTCAGCGCATTTAGCACATGTTTTAAAACATAAAGGCGAGGCTATCGCAGTAAACAATTAAGATTGAGATTGAGCTGGGGTCCACGTTTGGATGGCGGGTCGCTTACAGAATGTAATTCACGTCGCTGCCAAGGATTTCCGGTAATGCAACCGGTAATGTAATCAAATAATATTCAACAATCGGAAAATGCGAAAATGTGTTTTGCTCCGTATGCGATCAGCGATTAGTGAGGTTCTGTTAGCAATTTAAACAATGTGATCTAACGCGTGAGAATTTTGCATTTTTCTGAGAATCCTTGTAACGTGTTTGCCTGGACTGCGCCGTTAGCTACTCTGCAAACTAATTTGAATTGTCATATTCTTTGGGTTGACTCTCTGCAATCAGGTTCGCAGGTTTTTGGATAAAATGTAGACCATCTTGGTTGCGCGATGTTTAAAATGCACGCTCATAGCCCGAATTTATACCAAGGAGAGATTCTAATTGTTTATTGAGGTTAGGCGCCAAATGTAAATGAATTTCGGCGCAAATTTGGTAACAAGACTGATGTAGAATTAACGTTACAAACTTCTCAGGTATGTTGGGGGTCGAATATGATCACTTTTTGCCATCTTTTGACAGCAGAACTGTTCTAAATGTCTGCCTTCACATTAGGCATTCACTCGGAAGTGCCACAGATCTCTCCTATAACCATTTTGTCTGCGGTGACTGCCGAACGGTTCCTTTCCCACGCTCAGTGGCACTGGTCGGTGGCCGTGTGTGAAGGGGTCGGCGCTTCTCGGTGGCGCAGCCTTTGATTTCTGCTTCTGTGTCGTAGAGCGAGGGCGGTAGCAAGAGCGCAGGGGCGGCGCGGGTGCTAGTGGCCCTGCCGCCGCCCGCAGGCGTCGCCCTGGTGCAGGCGTGCGAGCGGCCGGCGGCCCCGCCCGGCGCGCCCTCGCGCCTGCTCGCCCTCGACGTCACCGCGGGCGAGGTGCTGCTGCTGTGGAGCGACGAGCACGTGCGGAGCAGGTGGGTCCCAACCCCTTCCCACTGGGTTGATGTTTCGTGGCTCGTCAACTGCTGCGCTTCTTAGCCCGTAGGGAGTTATTGTTTGTTGTTTTTGGCGGTGAACCCTTCCCCGCTGGATGGCGAGATCCGGTGGCGACCCTCATGTCGGCTTGCGGAAGGGTGGCACAGGTATCATGTGCCCCGTTCATTATAGGCTACTGGTACGGCATTCGCCTGGTGTTGATCGGAGAAACCATGGAAAACTACCGATGAGAGCAGCCGGCTGCTAGAATTCTTCTCCAGACAGCAGATGAATTCGACCTAGCTATCTACCTAGTGACGAAAATCCTGTTAGCCTAGGACCTCCCGGTCAGTCGATGCCTTGAGGCACCTGAGCCGGTGAATAGCATTGGAATGCGAGTCCAAAAAGTGCCTTTGGTAGCCCTCGTGCACGTTCTGCCCGCAGGTGCCTGCTGGAGTATGAGGTGCAGTTCCGCGGGCGCCGGGAAGACGGCTGGCGGCGCGTGAGCCCCGCGACCCTGCGTCTCCTCAGCTTCCACTTCGCCCCTCTGTCCAGCCCCGGCCACGCCCCCCCGAGCGCCGCCCGGCAGGCCGTGCGCGGCCACTACCGCGTGCGAGCGATCGACTTCTGGGGGCGCCCGGGCAACTTCTCGCAGCAGCTGGCTTACGGGGAATTCAGCGAATAAAATCTCCGACAAGCAAAGTCTTTCATAAAAATGCACACAAATATTCGATTGTATCAGAGAGGAAACAAAACTATAAAAGTAAAAAAAAAAAAGATTAATGAGAAAATAAAGATAAAGAAAACGGAGAGAGAATGTGAGAAGGGCGTAGTGAAGCAAATGACTTTCGAACGGACACATTAATCTTGGTGATTAATTCATATTTTATTTTCAGACGATTTTCCCATGTTTGGTTTAAACATTACGCATATATTCCGTATAAAAAGCTGTTAATACTCTGAATTCTGTTTTATAATTTTCGAAGCGATTGTGGAATATTTTGAATTGAGGGGAGGGGGTAGAATAAACACTTTATGTTATGTTATTGATCTCGTTATAAGAAAAATGACTATTGTGTTTGAAAATTAGCACACATTATAGTAACTTTTATTGGGTATCGCAAACTATACTATCCAACTTGAGTGGCCTTCATTTCGTGCGCTTTTGAGGGAAGAAGTGACATTCCCCACAAACTGTCAAGAAAAGTGCTTGGGATCTGCTGCCGGTATAAGAAAAGTGCTGCTTAGAACGTTATTACTAACTATAGTGCTTTAGACAATGCGACTAAACAAATAAGGATGTACCTTGTTTCTATATAAGTGAATTTTTCATATAATTACAGAAGATACTTTTTAATATTGCCCTTTTGATAATTTTGTATGAAAAAATAAATTAAAACATTAAGCTTATTTCAATTGTATGTTAATCTTTTTCGACATTCTCACAATATTCCTTTTTTAAGGGGAGCCAGAGGGGGCCACCCCTCAAATATATCGATTTTTGTTTTTTGTTATTTAAAAGCAATTTAATTTTTGTTTTTTAAAATGCAATTTACATTTTTGGCTTACACGCTCTAGAAATTGAGATATCGTTATTTGTATAAGTGCATGCTCTCAATGTGGGCGTGGTTCGACATTTTGACTTTCAGATATGGTGTTCGATATGTGTATTCTTGAATGTAGAGACACTGAACGGCTCATGTGTATGGAGGAATTGAAACCGTAATGTACAGATGTTACTGTACAAAAATTTGAATGCATAAGCAACATTCAGTAGCAAATGAGGGTACGATTGAGAAAATTGAATCAAAGACTTGATACTGCAAAACGAAGAGATGGGAAAACTATGGGGAAAGAGGTCGATTCACTGATGAAAAAATCTATAGGTTGCATAAATGTTATGGTTATATCATGAAACAAAATTCCATTTCTGTTGAAGACATGAATAGACCAGTATGGGTTCTGTTCTTCCACCTGGCATATGAAAATCTTAAGATTTTATGATTAGAACCATACCGCTCGCGCATTTTTATCGAATCCATGCGCGCATGGTTGGAGCTCCCTCGTTACATGTTTTTGCAACTTTTAGTGCTAACCCATGGTTGTATTGCTTTAAACTAATACAGCGCTACAAAGCGGCAACAGCTGGTTACATGATTATTTTGTTACTTATGAAACTTTAACAAATATTTCCCGTAAGTTTCATAATTTCATGTTTAAGGAACATTTTATCAGAAACTATAAACAGTAGATTACTGAAACTTTTTGACAATATTGCAAGTTCTATTTTCTTCTTTTTTATAACAAACTGTTAAAATGTATTGCATGAGACAAATGTTATAGAATATAAACTTCTGTTTTTCGTAAAAAAAAGTGTCTTATTAACACAATGTACTGCCAAAAGTAATAATTATTTATTAACAAGAAATAAATTTGTTTAGAATGACTAATAGAATATGCTTGAAAATTTTCAGATGTATATGTTAAGTCGTTTCTGAGAAAACGTTCCTTAAGTTTTCTAAAATTAACATGGAGAAGATGCGCCACTCGGGTTCACCTTACGCAACCCATAGAATTGAACTGTCTAAACAGGTTTTCTGAACATATCTGCATAAGAAAGAGAAGGATGAAGTACGTTATCAGGGCCAAGAGTAAAGGTACTCCTAGATTTGTCTTATTGCACCGCAAAGTAATATTCCAAATACTACACTACTAATGAGGTGTATGAGATGATATATGAGGTGAACAAAGTCGAGAAAATGTCAACCTAAACGAGTAAAATTCATAAATTATGAAATTATTTTTGATTGAGTTAAATAAAATGTACACATTTTTGAAAGAGGAACATGAACAAAGAATTGAGAATATGATGGTTTCTAGAAATTAATTTTTACAGAGAAAAAATATCTTCAACATTAAATCAGGAATACAATTAAATCGGAGAAAGAAAAGGAAGGAAACAAAACTGCTAACAGTGTCAATAATTATTGATAACACATAAATCCTCTTTTATAGCATTGACATATGATTAACCATGGAAGATGGATATGTAACAACTTAAAGGTGATACTCGTGAACGGAGCTAGTTTCAAACATTATCTTTGTGGATAACTCTTGAGAAAGTTTGACTTGTCTTTTATCGTGCCAGGTTCGTTTCTGGATACTCATGGAGTTAATAGATTGTGTCAACCGTTTTACTACAAACACCTGGAAGATTATATTCAGCTGTTATCTTGTTATAATCGGTCAGTCATTTCTTTTGTTTTAAACACTTTATCGCGGTACTATAAAATGTTTTTAAATCATATCCTTTTCTCATTTCCAAATCAGAAAGGATATCTAATTAGCCTTTTATTGATACATTTTGAAGTCACTAGATTGTTTTAGAATTGAAGAAAGAGCATATTGAGGAACTCCTTGGATGTAGCAATACTAACAATGTTTGTTATAATTTATTTTCAAATCTTCACATTTAATTGTAACTTATCAAGACCATATCATTGAGGTATCCCTTTTCGATATCTGTAAGTTCTTTAACAGCTTGCCCATTTCTCTGACATCTATGGTCGCTACCTACGAACATAGCAGTAGGAAGAACGGCTGCATAATATTACCCATTTGTGTAATGCTGAGAATGAGAGAAATATTACCTTTTGGAACTATTAGAGAATTGCTTTTCATACATAAAGATGCTATAGTCAAAGATTATGTTACTACAATTTCTGAAAAGGTGTACTCATTCTTTCACGTAAACGGTGAAACTGGTGAATATATTGAGGACCAAAACAATGTGGAATTTTATTCGCTTGAAATGGTAACATAGTGTATGATCTTTTAATAATCACTGAATACAAGTAGCAAGTGAATTGTTTAGTTTAATAGATGCTTCCACTTCATAAAAATAAGTGCCCTGTTTTGTAAATAAAAAGGTATGGAAAGAAAAGAAAAATTTGGATTGCAATTCAAAATTTCGGCATCACACATAAATCGTTAGGAATACCTGTTGAGTCTTCATTTACGTATTTATGAAAAATGTTTTGCAGATTAATAGTTTAGACGTTTTGTTTGTTTAATATAGTATCTTATAAGATACATTTACGAGTATTTCCATAATCATTTGTAAGCAGTTGATAGGTCATGCCACCATCTCAAAACTGTTGATTATACAGGAAAACATCAACACAACATTAGATACGGCCAGACAATGAGAACGAATGGCAGAAAAAGGTTCTGAGCCCCACCACACAGATATGCAGAGCTACGAACACGCACGCGCGCGAGCGCGCATTGCACTCTCACATGAGCCACACATTCCAACACACACAGACACACACACAAGTATACTATACACTGTGCGTTTTTTTAAATATTAGTGATAATAAAGAAAAAATAGCTTTTTATTAATAAAAACACCTTTATATCTAATTCCCTAACATCCAATCCCGCTCGTTAAAGAGTTTAATTTTTTTAAGTACCTAATCGCTGAAATCGATTAGCTGGACGTGCTGACCGTATTACGTGTCTGCGTATGGCTTCTGAGAGGCGCCCGCCGGGTGCTTTGACGCCGGAAACAAAGATGTCGCCGCTGAAGAGCGCTGACCGTGCACTTGAACGCGACGGCAGCACGCGAGGTCCCCTCGCAAGCAAACACCTCCACGAATATTACGACAGAGGGCGTCAATGAAGCGGCCTTCGCATGCCCCAATTTAATGTTGCCGCGAAGATATTGTTTGCCTAATTCTGTAAGGAGGAGAACAAAAACATGCAGATAGTACCTCTGGGGAATTTTATTTTCTTATAATAATGAAAACATACGACGGATTGATGTTTTCAAGCACATAACGGTCATCCTGTTAGTGCTGCAAACGTTTTTGTTCCGGCAGGTGGCGGTATTCCTCCCCCCGGGAAGGTGAGTTCCACCGCCTACCTTCATGTCGGTTTGCGGGGTATTTCCTCTTCCAAGTATCTCCTCCAGCGCCACATCGCTCTACCCGCGACAAGCTCTCAGCTCCTGACATGTGAGGTAGTGCAGTATATGTAAGTGTGACTGAAATAAGGAAAGTGAATAGAACAAGGAAGAGGAAGGAAAAATTGCGTAAGGTCCTTGGCCCGTTTGTCACCAGACACCTGGTAATGACCGAAGAAACTATGGAAATCTACCAATTGGAGCAGTCGGCAGCTAGAATTCTCGAGACAGCGGCTAAAATAGACGTAGCTCGAGCTAGTATCGAAAATTCGACACGGACGCCGGGACTCGACACTTAGAACTTCCCAGTTAGAGTCGCTGCGCTAGTATTATCGCGTAACGTTTCTTGAACGATAACCTTGCTTCCCCCTCTCTTGGCACAATAAACAATTGAAGGCAAAAGCAGGCAATGATGACTGATGCCAACATTCCAAACACATCTTCACTTGCGCGCAATAGAATCTTTTCTTTTTAAGACAAAAACTTCTGCCCTTTATTTTCGAAAAAAAGTGTAAATGACCGAAGCAGGTGAAGATCCATCACAGGATACCTCGAACTCCTGAGAAAGTTAGAACGTAAATTACTGAGAAAGTTGCGAAGGCATGACTAATTCTCCAGATATTGGCAGTTCTTCATAAAATTGAGTGGCCGACTTCGTAACTAATACCCCCTTTCTACCCGCATTTCTCCAATCCATCGTTCAAGTAATGTTGATCGAGTAATAACAATTAGTAGGCGCGAACTCAGCCGGTCCGTCCCATAAAACAGCTTCAAGGAAAATCTTCCTCGTGAAGCGCCGACCCAATGCTCCGAAGCAACACCGACGCCCCCTCCTCTTCCCCCTCCGGCCCGCATCCGCTGCTGAGCTTTTTTATCAGCTGAGGCGGCGATCGCGTGCCTGTGCCTCTCGCTCGCGATGAAAGAGACGCGACGGCCGCCAGGCACGCGCCTCGCAGCAGTGACTATGACATTTGATTGCAGTACGCAGCCGTATAGAGTATTGCTCTCTCTTTCTATCTAATACAATTTTACATAAGGCTTTTTCCTTGTGCCGCAAGCTGTGTTGCCGATTCACGAGGCTCGGGGTTATCCAGCTTGTCCATCCTGTCCACACAAAATTAATAACATTAATCGATGTCGTCATACTCGCAAAACAATTATAGTCTAGTGTTTGATGAATAAACAATGTTTCATATTGTTGGACTTGTTTTGCTCTTGATATTTTAGTATTAATTTTCATTTAAAAGTCTCTTTTTTACAAATAATATTTCAATAAATATTTTAATAAAAAATCCTTTATTTCTAATATTAAGCCATCTATTTAAAATGTTTTGAAGATATTTTGTTCAAGTGCAATTCTAAATTTCTTCAGGCTTGTAGGTAGTACGTAAGATCTGCAGAAAGGTTGAGACCCCTGCCGAATACTAGTCTTGATACAAAAGTAGGAGAAATAACTTCCTACTAAAAGTAGAAAAAAACGACAAAAATGCAATGTCATATAAATCTGGGTAATTTTCTTTTGACATAACATCAAACTAGGGTCTATACTAAATTGCATTGCTCTAAGTGAATAGAAACGAGTGGTGCTACCGGATGGCACAGACTTTCCCGTATTGGTTTTCTATTTCTTTGCTCTCAGCTCGCTATTCGGACTTGCCTCATACTCTTGCCACCTGTCATCCGTCGCCGCCCAAATTTTATTTTATTTTATTTTATTTATTTTTTTTTTTGTTGAAATTTTCTCGATTTTTCGGTTTCCTAATAGCAGAACGAAAATAGTATTTTAAGAATATTAAAGAACAGTAAAACCTCGTTCTAAACGGCAATTTTCATTTAAAAATTTGGAGACGTTTTTAAGAAAATGGCGTTTAAGCGTTACTGTAAGTTTGAAAATGTTTGAAAACCTTCATTAGAAGCCATCTGAAACACATCCAATATATCCAAATCCAAATACAATAGTGTATACAAATTGCTGGAAATGTGAATATTTACGGCGTGAGAGATCTTAAAAAATACATTTGTGTAGTTTTTGACAAAACAAAATAATACCCCAAAATGAACTTTATGACACATTAAACAGTGCGATTAGCACTACCCGTTCGATAAGTATGAAGAATAAATTTGGAGACGTTTTTGAGAAAATAGCATTTATGCGTTTCTGAAAACACGGAATGTTTAGCTAGTTTTCACGGAAAAGAGTTTAGTTTTCGAGAAGCATTATGTGTCATTATTTAAAGCACATGTGCTCATAAATACAATAATGTGAACAAATCGCAGCTAATGTAAATATTAACAACGTGAGAGACAAAAAATTACATTTTTGTAATTTGTGGAAAAACAAAAGAAAAGAGCAATAAGGTCATGGTCAGGTTTATGTCATGTCATAGAGTATATTTAGTACTACCTACAGCAAAAGTTTAAAGAAAAAATTGGGAACCGTTTTTGAGAAAATATTGTTTTTGTTATTTTTTCAAATTGCACGTGTTGCACGCAATATTGCCCGAAAGATACTAAAATTTTTAAAAAATGCGAACGACCTATCTGAAAGAACT